TCACCACTTAGGATAAAATATGATGGACATAATTAATCCGTATTATCAGCCTTTCCGCACGCCATGGAGGGTGTGTGCCTGATGATCCAGGTGCCTGACGTTAGTGCGCGGAAAGGGAGTCCTGAGGCATGAAGGCCAATCAACCCGAGGAACAACGCAACGCAAACGTTTCTCCGCCTTACGTAGTGATCTCATGCGATGTCTCTCCGCTTTTCCGTTTCCCTTTCTTATCATCACGTCACTCCCCCAACTTCCAACTCAATTCTTCATCCACTTTTCCATTGCTTTGCATGGTTGATGGAATGAGCTGGATTCATCCTATCATCCATGGATAGCTGATCTCGTCTAGTTGATTTCCCTTTATACTACGAATATATACCATCCTCAGGAATCGCATTGACATCACGCGTCCACTGCCGTCGGAGTCCTTGTTTCGCAGCACCCCTGCCGTACGTGGCAACGCCATTATTCCTAACTTTATATTCCAAATAAAGCCCCGGCTACTTTCCTCGCCTGTTACCCGCCTTGAATGAATCTGACCAGTCCTCATCCAAACGCTTCCGACCGATCCCGTCTCTACAACCCTGTTCCCAACCATGCGGGGACTCCGCTTCGTCCCCGTGATCGCTAGCCTCGGCTCGGTCTTCATATCACAATCATTGGCTCAGGGAGAGACCGCTCTACATGAGAAAGGGCGCTGTGCTATTCGAGGACACTGTGGGAAGAAGTCCATCTTTGGCGGAGACCTACCATGTCCAGATAATGGTGTCGCAGAGGAACCGGAAACGGCGGTGAGGAAGAAACTTGTGAATTTATGTGGCAGTAAGTGGGAGGAAGGCCCAGTGTGCTGTAAAGATGAGCAGGTACGTGTCAGATGTGATATGTCACAGTAATTGACATATTGAACTGCATTCCTAATTGTTCCGTGGTTAGATCGATGCGCTCTCCAGGAACTTGAAGCTTGCCGAGGGTATCATCGCCTCCTGTCCTGCGTGCAGAGAGAACTTCTTCAATATCTTCTGCACTTTCACCTGCTCTCCGGACCAGTCTCTCTTTATCAATGTCACGGAGACCGAGACCAGCAGATCGGGGAAATCTTTGGTGACCGAACTAGACAACATCTGGTCGGAAGAATACCAAAGTGGATTCTACGAAAGCTGCAAGAACGTGAAGAATGGTGCATCAGGTGGTAGGGCGATGGACTTCATCGGCGGCGGCGCAAAGGATTATACGCATTTTCTCAAGTTTCTGGGAGACAAGAAGCTTTTGGGTAGCCCTTTTCAGATAAACTTCAAAACCGAGCCCGCCGGTCCGGATCCTCAGGGAATGCATCCTCTGCCCATCAAGCCAAAGGCATGTAATGACTCAGATGAAGCCTTCCGTTGCTCCTGCGTGGACTGCCCCGATGTGTGTCCACAGCTGCCCGCAGTGGAAACGGACAAGCAATGCCATGTGGGCCTTTTACCTTGCTTGTCCTTTGCCGTGATTCTGATTTACTCCATCTTTCTGCTATTCGTTGTGGCTCTTTCGAGTTACTTCACGTATAAAGAACGGCGCCACCGCAAACCGGAACGAGTCCGGCTTCTGCAGGACCCGACGCCGAGCGACGACGAAGACGAAGGCGATATTGTTCACGCGGGAGGCTACCTCGAGCAGCCCAAAGGTGTTTATAAACCGAACTCCGTATTGGACCGTTCTTTCAACCGGATTGGTGGCACATGCGCCCGGTTCCCCGCGATTACCATCGTGTCTAGCATTATAGCAGTAGGGCTGTTAAGCCTGGGCTGGCTGAGGTTCGCTGTGGAGACCGACCCAGTGCGATTGTGGGTGAGCCCTACATCAGCAGCCTTCCAGGAGAAGCAATACTTCGACGCCAATTTTGGCCCCTTCTATCGTGCAGAGCAGGCTTTCCTTGTGAATGAGAGTGGCCCCGTTCTTACCTATGATACCTTGAGTTGGTGGTTTGATGTCGAGTCCCGAGTCCGCCGGGTGATATCGCTAGACCGTGGAATTATTCTGGATGATATCTGCTTCAAACCTACCGGTGACGCTTGTGTGGTTGATTCCGTGACTGGTTATTTTGGTGGTTCGATATATAACCTCGACCCTGATACCTGGAAAGAACGCGTAAGGCATTGTGCCGAATCTCCCGGTGATGTAAGCTGCCTTCCTGAGTTCGGGCAGCCTCTCAAGCCAGAAATGATTTTGGGCGGCTATGAAGAATCGGGGGATGTGTTTGACGCTCGAGCACTGATCGCTACATGGGTGGTTAATAATCATGCCCAAGGGACCGAAGACGAAGCGAATGCGATCGACTGGGAAGACAGCTTCAAGGGTGTTCTTGGGGTCGTCCAAGAGGAGGCTAAGGAGCGTGGTTTGCGCGTGTCTTTCAACGCCGAAATTAGCGTTGAGCAGGAGCTCAACAAATCGAGCAACACAGACGCAAAGATCGTCGTTATCAGCTACATTATCATGTTCATATACGCATCCTTGGCTTTGGGCTCCGTCACCGTGACGTGGAAATCGTTACTTACGAATCCCGCGAACGCTCTAGTCCAGTCGAAATTCACCTTGGGCATTGTGGGCATTGTCATCGTCTTGATGTCGGTGTCCGCTTCTGTCGGGCTATTTTCCGCGACGGGCGTCAAGGCAACATTGATCATCGCAGAGGTCATTCCGTTCCTGGTGTTGGCTGTCGGCGTGGATAATATCTTTTTGATTGTTCATGAATTCGAACGGATCAACGTCAGCCATCCTGACGAAGAGATCGACGAGCGAATCGCTCGGGCTGCGGGCCGCATTGGCCCCAGTATCTTCTTGTCCTCCCTTACCGAAACGGTAGCCTTCGCTCTGGGTGCTTTCGTCGGAATGCCGGCCGTCAAGAACTTCGCCGTGTACGCCGCGGGGGCGGTGTTCATCAACGCCGTTTTGCAGATTACTATGTTCATATCTGTGCTTGCGTTGAACCAGAGACGTGTGGAAAGCCTCCGCGCAGATTGCTTCCCATGCATTACGGTCCGCAAAGCGCATTCTGGGATGTCGGAAGATCAAGTCTTCGATGATCAGGATGGAGAAAGCTTTCTGCAGAAGATCATTCGCAAGGTTTACGCCAACTTTCTCCTCACTCGTAAGGTCAAGGTTGCCGTCATCATTGTATTCCTGGGCCTTTTCACTGCTGGATTGGCTCTCATTCCCGAGGTAGCGCTTGGTTTGGACCAGCGTATCGCGCTGCCCAGTGATTCTTACCTCATCCAGTATTTTGACGACTTGAATAAGTACTTTGGAAGCGGCCCTCCGGTGTATTTCGTGACTCGCAATGTGAACATCACCGCGCGGAGCCATCAGCAGCAGCTTTGTGGTCGGTTCACGACTTGTGAAGAGTTCTCATTGCCGTTCGTATTGGAACAGGAGTCTAAACGGCCCGAGGTGTCGTATATCTCAGGATCTACCGCCAGCTGGATTGATGATTTCTTCTACTGGCTTAATCCCCAGCAGGACTGCTGCAAGGAAGATGGCCAGCTTTGCTTCGAAGACAGGAATCCAGCATGGAACATTTCCCTCTACGGTATGCCAGAAGGTGAGGAATTTGTCCGCTACGCGCAAAAATGGATCGATGCCCCTACAGACGCATCTTGTCCGCTGGGAGGGAAAGCTCCGTACAGCACTGCTCTTGTCCTCGACTCGAAGCGAATCATGACCAACGCCAGTCATTTCAGAACAACGCATACACCTCTCCGGACGCAGGATGATTTTATTAAATCGTACAAATCAGCTCGTCGTATTGCGCAGGGTATCTCAGAAGAGCATGGTATCGACGTGTTTCCCTACTCGAAGACGTACATATTCTTTGATCAGTACATTTCCATTGTTCAGCTTACCGGTATCCTACTCGGATCTGCTGTCGCCATCATCTTCCTCCTGACCTCCGCCATTCTAGGCTCCGTCGCTACGGGGGCCGTGGTGACTGGCACCGTTGTGATGATAGTGGTCGATATCATCGGCTCGATGGCCATCTCCGGGGTGTCGCTGAACGCTGTGTCGCTGGTGAACTTGATCATTTGTGTTGGTATTGGGGTCGAGTTCTGTGCGCATATCGCGCGCGCGTTCATGTTCCCGTCTCGGGTGATCTTAGACAAGGTGCCCACTAAGTTCCGCGGCAAAGACGCCCGGGCTTGGACTGCGTTGGTCAATGTCGGAGGCAGTGTTTTCAGCGGCATCACCGTGACTAAATTGCTCGGGGTCTGTGTGTTAGCCTTTACCCGCAGCAAGATTTTCGAGATTTACTATTTCCGTGTGTGGCTGGCGCTGATCTTGTTCGCGGCTACCCATGCGCTCATCTTCTTGCCCGTAGCCCTGAGCTATTTCGGAGGAGAGGGTAAGTTCTTGTCAATGTTTCTAGCTTTTCCCGGTGTCATGGCGACTGGTAACTGACCATGGTTCTAGGATATGCCGATCCCGGCTCGGATGGTGGCCTTGAGGAGAACCTTGCCTCCCGTGGCTATCGCTCTCTGCTGGTTGATGACGATTACGACTCAGATGGATATTAGACATACAATACTATGATACAATGATTGCTTGACGCTTTTACGGACCATGGGACTCTCGGGAGCCCCGTCAACTCCCAGCTTTTGTTTAGCTGTTGCGGGGTGCATACGGAGTTATCAGGATGGAACGGTGTTGGGAATTGGAACGTTCTTTACTTTGGTGAATGTATACAGTGAACTTGGGGTATGTTACATAAAGCGGTAATAAACGAGACGTGTTTCAATTACGAGACGGAAAGTCATCCTCGAGAACATCCCATAAATTAGGAGATTGAATGAACGAAAATCATGGAAAAAAGAGTCGCGGTTGGGCAGCGACACGTGAAGCGACGCGCTCCTAACTGGATTAAGCGTAGTAACCTGTCCGAAACGGGTTAACGCCAATAGTCAATAATTTTTTTTGATTTTATTTTTTATTTTCTACACTCCGCTTGTGTCCAGTGGACCCAAAATTTTTTTTTTTTTCCCCTTCCCCTCCCTCCTTATATTTTTTTTTCCTTCTCGTCCTTTCTCTTTCCTTTCTTCATCTCCCCTTTTCTTTTGTTCTTCTTTTTTCACATCTCTTTTCCTTTTTTCTTTTCTTTTCTTTCTTGTGATACCCTTGTGAGCTTTCTGTTTTGCGCAGACAGCTCATATAGTCCCTGTGAAAAGGAGCCTCGATTGTTGTCGAGGGTCTGGGACAACCCCCGCAATTGTTTTTATTTTCTATCCTTAAAAAGTTGTGTGCTTTTGATCCATCATGGATCAGCAGAAATTCCTGCAGCAACTGCAGATCGTCCTGAACCGTAAGTGACCAATCATGCAAAATCAGGCAATGAGGAATGCTGACGAGACAATTTCCAGCCGCCCAGGGAAATGTGAAGGAAGCGACGGGTATCCTGCAGCGCGAATTCTATAACAAGCCGGAGTCCCTGGTTTTTCTCATCCAGATCGCTACTGGACATGAGGACGCCAACTTGAAGCAGCTCGCTGCTGTCGAGGCTCGCTCCCTGGTGAACAAGCACTGGGTTTCTGTGCAGGCCGGCCAGAAGCCTCAAATCCGCGAGCAACTGCTCCGTTCCACCCTTGGCGAGGGCTCTTCCCTCGTCCGTCACTCAATCGCTCGTGTCATCTCGGCTGTTGCCAAGGTGGACCTGAACGATGGCGAATGGGCCGAACTCCCCAACTTCTTGATTCAGGCCGGTAGCACCGGCAACAAGGACGAGCGTGCCGTGGCCATCTACATCCTGTTTACCATTCTGGAGACTCTGGGTGAGGGATTCGAGGAGAAATTCCAGGATCTCTTCAACCTGTTCGGCAAGACTATTGCCGACCCAGAGAGTGAGGAAGTTCGTACCAACACCCTGCTGGCTCTCGGTAGACTTGCCATGCACCTCGATTCGGAAGAGGATGTGGGTCCTGTTAAGGCTTTCCAGCAGCTCATCCCCTCCATGGTCGCTGTTCTCAAGGAGTCAATCGATCAGACCCAGGAGGACCGTGTGATGCAGGCTTTCGAAGTCTTCCAGACTATCCTTGGCTGTGATCCGGCCCTCTTGACGGTGCACCTCAAGGACCTCGTTGTCTTCATGAACGAAATCTCTGCCAACACTGAGGTTGAGGAGGACACCCGTACCCAGGCTATCAGCTTCCTGATGCAGTGTGTCCAGTACCGCAAGCTCAAGGTGCAGGCTATGCGTGTCGGTGAGCAGCTCACTCGCACTGCTCTCCACATCGTCACTGAGCTGGGCGATACCTCCGTCCTTGATGATGACATCACCCCGGCGCGCTCCGCTCTTGGTCTGCTCGATATGCTGGCCCAGAGCCTGCCTCCAAGCCAGGTCGTCGTGCCCCTCCTGCACTCTTTGGGCCAGTACTTCAACAACACCAACCCCGACTACCGTCGTGCCGGTATCATGGCTCTGGGTATGTGTGTTGAGGGTGCCCCCGACTTCATCAGCACTCAGATGAAGGAGATCTTCCCCATGGTCCTCCAGCTCTTGGGTGACCCCGAGCCCAAGGTTCGTCAGGCCTCATTGCACGCTGTGGCCCGTCTTGCCGATGACCTGGCTGAGGACTTGAGCCAGGAGCACGAGAGGCTCATGCCCTTGCTCTTCCAGAACCTTGCCAGTGCTATGCAAGAGTACAAGGGTGAGGAAGATGGCCCAACCATTGATATCATGAAGGCCGGCATCAGTGCTATCGACGCAGTCGTCGACGGCCTTGATGAGAAGGACGTTGCTCCTTACCAGGGTGAATTGGTTCCTATCCTGCATAAGCTCTTCAAGCACCCCGACTTCAGAATCAAGGGCCTGGCTGCTGGTGCACTTGGCTCTCTGGCCTCCTCTGCCGGTGACTCCTTCCTGCCATTCTTCGACGAGTCCATGCACTTGCTGCAGGAGTTTGCCACTGTCAAGGACAGCGAGGAAGAGCTCGACCTGCGCGCTAGCGTGACCGACGCCATGGGCGAGATGGCCGCTGCCGCCGGTGCTGAGCGTTACCAGCCATACGTCGAGCCGCTCATGCGCGCAACCGAAGAGGCTCTGCACCTTGGTCACTCGCGCCTCAAGGAGAGCACCTACATCTTCTGGGGCGCTATGTCCAAGGTTTACGCTGAGCACTTCTCTGCCTTCCTCGACGGTGTCGTCAAGGGTCTCTTTGCCTGTATCGAGCAGGATGAGACTGATCTTGAAGTCTCTTTCGGCGAGGCTGCCAAGGACTTGGTCGGCCAGGAGGTGACTGTTGGTGGCCGCAAGGTCAAGGTTGCCAGCGCTGACGATGACGAGCCTGTTGGCGAGGATGGCGAGATTGAAGACGTCGACCTCGAAGACGAAGATGGCTGGGATGACATCACTGCCACCACTCCCCTGTCTCTTGAGAAGGAAATTGCTGTTGAGGTCATTGGTGATCTCGTTACCCACACCAAGTCCGCCTACCTGCCTTACTTCGAGAAGACCATCGAGATGGTTCTGCCCCTTGCCGAGCACCCTTACGAAGGTGTTCGTAAGAGCACCATCAGCACCCTCCACCGCTCCTACGCTATGCTCTTCGCCATTGCCGAGGAGAACGGCCAGATGGCCAAGTGGAAGCCCGGCCTGCCTCTCCAGGTCGAGCCTGCCAAGGAGGTCAAGAAGTTCGGTGAAATCCTTATGACTTGCACTATCCGCATGTGGACTGAGGAAGATGATCGGTACGTATACTCTCTTATTGCTTATGTTTGTTTTTTCTTGACAGGCTTTGAAATTGTTTCATTCCTGGCACCTACAATGATGAACACACTCGTTTACCCAGCTCACTCAGACACACAAAAAGTGTGATTGATGTAAACGGCGATTATCTCACATCTGAACTCTTGACTGTTTTTATGTTTTGCTTGCGTGAACATTGTGTGTTGGCATTGCTTCTAACCTGCCACCTCCTAGGGCTACCGTCGCCGACATCAACCGCAACATGGCTGAGAACCTGCGCTACTGCGGTCCTTCTCTGATTGCCAACGAGACTACTCTCCACAACGTCATCACGATGGTCACCGACATCATCACGAAGAAGCACCCTTGCCAGCTGGAGTTCAGCCCTGACGACGATTCTATCGACGCCGGTGAGGAGTCTTCTGAGTTTGACTGGGTCGTTGTCGACACTGGTCTTGATGTCGTTTCCGGTATGGCTGCTGCCCTTGGTGAGAGCTTCGCCGAGCTCTGGAAGGTCTTCGAGAAGACTATCATCCGTTACGCCGGCAGCACTGAGTCTCTTGAACGTGCCACCGCTGTCGGTGTTCTCGCCGAGTGCATCAATGGCATGGGCGCTGCTGTGACCCCTTACACTTCTGCCTTCATGAAGCTGCTGGTGCACCGCCTTGGTGATGAGGATCCTCAGACCCGCTCCAACGCCGCTTATGCCGTTGGCCGTCTCGTTGAGCACTCTACCGCTCCCGAGATAGTCAAGGAGTTCCCCACCATCCTGAGCCGTCTCGAGGCCTGCTTGCACATGGATGTCTCCCGTCTCCAGGACAACGCCACTGGCTGTCTCAGCCGCATGATCCTCAAGCACCGTGACAGCGTTCCCCTCAAGGACGTCCTGCCTGCTCTGGTCAAGCTTCTCCCCTTGAAGAACGACTACGAGGAGAACGACCCCCTGTACCGCATGATCTGTCAGCTGTGTATGTATCCCCAACTTTTCTTTTTCGTGAGCCCTTTGCTAACTCCACTTTAGACAAGTGGGAAGACCCTACCACCCGCGAGCTTACCCCTCAATTCCTGCCCATCTTCCAGTCTGTCCTCTGCGGTGACGAGGATCAGCTCGAGGACGAGCGCCGCGCCGAGCTCGTCGAGCTTGTCAAGTGGCTGAACCAGATGCAGCCCGGCGCTGCTCCTTGGGTTGAGCAGCTGTAAAGCTTACCCGACATGATGGCTTGACGATTCAACAAATATTTAATGGATAGACTGGTTACTCAAAAGGTTTTATGGTTGACTGATAGAAGATACCCCTCCGGAGCGCATCAGGGTCGGCCCTGTTATGCGTGATGATGTGACGAAGACGGATAGAAAAGTCATGTATTCGTTTCGCAATGATTTATGAATCAAACGGTGTAAATATACCAATGTTTATAACCTGCACTTATATCCATGCTCCTTTTAGTTGTAGCACGTAGTTAACTGTCTCTGTAAGCCACAAGCGGAAGTTGAACATTCATCCCTAGACTATGATACCTGCACTTTGGCTACATGGATCCTCCCCTGAATCGTGGTCATTAACTCGTACAATTCACAACATGCCTGATCTATATCTCGAATCTACTGGCAGACATGGGGCAATACTGTATCAACTGGACTACTTGGAAAATTGGTCAATCCCTAGAACATCTCATCGTATACTTCCACACAACAGCCTACTAATCACTACTCATTCCCTTGCGATCCAAACTAAGCTGGGATATCCCGCTTCCCCAGATCATTTGCCTCCGATATGCAGTAGCAGCTGCATTAACGCGGAAACCTGCATGCTTAGGGCATGACCTACGTAGGTAACTTAACAGGACAGTACCAGAGATATGAACAATATAATAGAATGGATAGTCAGAGATAGCGAAAGAAATCCAGAAGAGCCTCCCAAGACAATCCAATAACCCACATTCAATAACCCCCCACCCAAGCCATATTTTCATACTAGACCTGGAAGCCGGGGATACAATCAATCTATGATTCAGTTCCTGCGACGAACAGGAGGCTCGAAACCATCGATAGCATCCAGGATGGTTTTACCCTTAATGACACCATCGCGCGTCTGCTTTGTCCAACCCTTGAACCACGGCAGATTCGGGGACTCTTCCATCATGTTGTCTCCGTGAGTAGCGCTAATAGGAACATAGGATACACATCTGGGGTTGTATAAGGATTTGCGTTTCAGCGAATTGGAAGTTTCTTTGAGTACTTCGTTGAAACGATCCTCCGACCAGCGCGTGGTGTCCATTTTGGAAATAGCGACCGCGATCTGGGGAATGCCTAACTCGTGGGCGCATTCAGCAAACCGGATGGTCTGATCATTCTCGCTTTCGCCGAGAGCTTCCCCAGTCCACGCGGAAATCACCAGGATGGCGCAGTCGGCGGGGATGATGCCAGTTGAAACGTTGTAATGGAAGGAATCCAGGTCGGGGATTTCTAGTGGCGGTCAGTACACTGGTATCTTTATCTATATATGTATGGATCTGGTAGCACTACCATAGAACGTGGTTGTATATTTCGGTGTTTCCATATTCCAGGAACTGATGGCATCGGGGTCCTCATTTTGCTCGCTCGCATATTCATTAATGGCCATCGCATAGTCCTTAGCGGAACAGTATCTCGTGGCAGCGACGTGCTGTGACCCTGTTAGACAAGAATCATGCTAAACATCTTTCATGGTGTGTTTGGCCATACCTCCTGGATCAGCTGGTCCAGCCCTTCGTATTGCCCTTCTTTGGAGATGAGATAACCTATCCAAGATACTATCTGTCATGATGTTCATGTCGTCGGGATTGCAAGTCAAGATCCGGTCATGAATTACCAATCGTCATCGACTTGCCGGACCCAGCGTTGCCGATCACAACGATGTTAAGGTGTGTCTTCGTCATATTGAGCCGTGGGATGTACAGATGAATGATGGTGGAAAAGGAGAGAAACTGAAGAAAACTCTGCTATACCCAGAGAGTGAGGTGGGAGTCCTGGTCTTATAAGAAAAAGTCTCGCATTGCAGATCTTGCCTGCATAGTGTTGCGATCAGCCCCCGCAGTTCAGCTGGAGGTGGGATGCAGCTCTATAGATCCGATAAGTGGATAACCTTCATCCCCACTACCCACTACACGGAACTCTGTCGCGGGCAGAGGAAATGCCCCTCCGTCACTTCTGAGTCTCTTCCGACTCTTTCGAAAGACGAAGGAGAAACAAACTATGAATACCCACAATGTCTCCTCCGCCCCGGGCTGCATCCAACTCCTCCAGCAACACAAAAAACGTCTTCAAGACGCCCAGTCTCGCAAGGGCCAGTGTCTCTGCATACAAAGGCCTCGCGATGAAACCATTCTCGGGTTCAATCTTCGTCGCGCGAAGAATCAGGGCCGATCGAGTCTAGATCACAGCGTTCGGTCCTCCATCATCCCCCCAGCCTATCACCCATGCACGCGTTCTCTCCGCAATCTGCAGCAGATCATGATCAAGGATCTACGAGTGGAAACTCATCACCGCGATACGTATCTTCTGCTCCGATCCGTGACACCGCCGGATGAAATGACGGCCATTCTGGCCATCGTGGAGGATGAGAATGGGGATGTTCTCATGCTGCAGCTTTACAACCAGGATATGGACCGCCCTGTAGAAGAGACTCTCCCAGAGGGAACGGCTTTGATTGTGAAAGAGCCGTTTCTGAAACTGATGTCGGATGGCGAGTATGGAATCCGCGTCGATCACGTTTCTGATGTCATATTTCTGTCGGCTGTTGATGAGCGAGTCCCTCTTTGCTGGCGGCCACAAGACAGTCCAAACTTCGATGTGAGCCATTGGAAGATGAGGGGGGATGAGCTCTGCGATAGCGCCAAGTACCAACTTGCGATTGAATCCTACACCAAGGCGTTGGACGGCTTACCCAACTCGGAAGAATCCACCATCCTTAGACTCAGCCGAGCCTATGCTTTGCTCAAAGCCCGCCGGTTCGACGAGGCGCTGCTTGACCTGAACTCTATACCACAAACCAGTCCTTCTGCTGAGAAAGCTCTTGTATATAAGGTCCAAGCACTCTACAACCTCCATCGGTACCGCGAATGTCACCAAGTCCTCAGTTGTCTTGGTCCTGAATCCTCGGACAACCCTGCGATCAAGGACTATCCCTCTCGTGTTCTCAGGCGTCTCGAGGAACAAGAGCATGGGAAGTACCAGTTCAAGCCGATGTACCAGGCCAGCAAAGCCTTTCCTCCAGATTTAGATCATGCTACGTATATTGGCCCCGTGGCCGTCAAACCATCTAGCGCCCGTGGACGCGGTCTCTTCACCACCGAGGCAGTCAAAGCCGGGGATCTTCTATTATGCGAGAAGGCATTTGCGCATTTATCTGCAAACCCAGAACAGGACAAGAATGTGACGCTTCTGATGAACATCGAAACCGACACCATGACCGTGGGAACACAATCCGATCTCATCCGAGTGATCACGCAGCGACTCTACCAGAATCCTGCTTTGATCAAGCAGTTCACAGATCTCCATCATGGATCGGACAGCCCAGTCAATGTATCCGATGTGGATGGGAAACCAGTTTTGGACTCGTAACTACCCCCTACCCAACCAAGGATACTCTCCAACCTGACCAAGAATGATACAGATTTCTCATCACGCGCATTGTCTCCCTGAATGCATTCGGCTGTCCGCCGTCCTCCCGGGAATACTACCTAGCTGATAAAGCCACAAGATTAGAAACAGGGAATCAGTTCCATTCATGCGGTGTCTGGCCCAACTCCTCATACATCAACCACAGTTGCGACAGCAACGCCCAACGGAGCTTCATCGGCGACATGATCATAATCCGCGCCGCGAAGGACCTCGACGCCGACACCGAGATCACCTTCTGGTACGCGACGCCCGACGTCGACGATTTCGAAGCCCACCGCGATAAATTCCAGCACTGGGGCTTCCAGTGCGATTGTATCATCTGCCAGGACTACCAAAACACAGACCCAACCATCCTCGAGAAACGCCAAACCCTGCGAACAGAAGTCCGCCACTATATCCAATCCACCCGGCAACCAGACCTCGCGAGGATCGAGAGCACGGTGGCTTCATTGGCGAGTACGTACAGTCGACCCGCGCGCGAGGTCCCGCGTCTGGGCATTTGGGACGTGCAGTGTGTGCTGGCGAAGAAGTATCTGCGACTGAACCAGCCTGTCAAGGCCACCGAGGCGGTGTTTGGAGCGCTAGAGTCCCTGGGCTATGTTATTCAGGGTGCAAAGATCCCGGGTGCGCCGCTGGTGATTATGCAGTGGGGGTTTATGGTGGATCAGCTTATTGAGGTCTGGCTTGTTCTGGCTGAGGCGTTTCATACGGTCAGCCCAGAGCTTGAGGCGCGGGCGGAGAGGTATGCGAGAATTACTTATAAGATTTGTGTGGGTGAAGATGAGACTTTTGAGGATACCTATATTACGAATAGTACATAACAAGCTTTTCCTTTTCTTGTTAGCTGGTTTACCTGTACGATAGACTTTTGTCCATTTTTCTCTCTATGCTCCAGGATCAAGGACAGAGCGAAAGGGATGTTTAAAAACTTCCAGCAGAAAACACCACACCAGTTGTACATAGCCACACAACAAACTCATACACCCACACCAGACCACATATCAATCATACTAAGACACCGAAGAATCAAAAATGAAGGGATGAGATAAAAAAAAAAAGAAAAGGCATTAACAGGTCAGAAACCCCAACTAGAATCTCCCCTCTCCAAATCCAAAAACTCCACCACCCTCGCCAGATGATCCACGCCCCAGAAACACTCTTTCTCGCCACGAGAATTCACACACTCGAACCAGGGTAATCCAAACGCTCCGTTGTCGAATGCTCTTTGAGTATTCTCCGTCAGACGGAGTTTGATCTCTGGTTCTTTTGACTATATCAATTAGTATTAGCATCACATCACCACCATCACCATCACCATCACTGACAAGATCCAAAACAGATAAAAGAAATAAAAACAGAACAAAACTCACAGCCTCAAGTATCTCCCCCGCACCCTCCCCACCGAAAACCTCCTCCAACACACCCATGAACCCATCGGTAGTCACAACACGCGAATCCCCCTCTCCCCAAAGTCCCCGATACAACCTCTCCACAACCAACGCTAGTCTCTCTGGATACCGCTCACCAAGGACGAGTAATATGCTCTGGACCTCAGCAGTCGGGAAGGGAAATCCGGCGGGCGGAGTTTCACACATGGGAAGTTTCAGTCGACGGGACCAGTAGAGGCGTTCTTTGTTTATCCAGGTTGATTTGTCTACCAGTTTGTTAGCTTTTCTTTTGGGTATATTCTATACTAGTATCCTTTATAGGGTTTGGATTCTGGGTAGTGGAGTTGGGTAAGGAGGGTTGATTTGAGAGTATGCGGAGGAGGAAATGGGTAAATACTCTTCACAGCAATCGGGGGCGTATTCTGGCATTTGGCGAAGAGGTCACGCAGGAGGATTGGGGTGTAGGTTATGTTGCATTTTGAGAAGATGGGGGAGTTCTATAGTATAATTTTGGTTAGTTTGGTTGTTTTATATATGGGGTTGTAGCTTGTGGTTAAAGAGGGACCTTGAGAATGTGGAAGGCGACGTAGCTGAATGGACTTAGGAGGTCGAAGTAGAGGGTGACCTTTGGGGTGGACATCTTGACAGTATATATAGAGTATAGAATTAAAGATATTTTATTGTAACTTGAGTTGAAATTGGACGACTGTGGTTTATTTGTTGCTTGTAGCGGTAGGTAGGGTTAGACTCAGGCCAGAGTGGGAGGGATGGGTTTATATTCTACAAATCCCTGATCTACAGCAGTGGCTTGCATTTATGTGCAGGATGATTTCCTTGAATGATGTTTTCATTCCTCAACAATTCAACGGACAGATATACGTGTATCTGCAGAGGAATGGTGAGAACTTAGGGTTCGTATCCCGTCTGGATCTATGATAACTAATCATTAAATATTGAGTTGTTGGGGTTCCGCAAATGATCCCCAACCATACACCTGACTCATAGTGAGTGATTGAATCTGAATCAGCCATTCGAGAATATACTATAGTGTACTAGATACGTATTGACCGCTCTTGAGCACTTTATGAGTTGAGACTGGAACTGTTATAGTAATCTAATTCTATCTGAAAGAATACTATCCGTCATCAATCAGTGAATCACCTTTCTGCCCGAGCAAGTCCCTAAATACCCTCTGCAATTTATGTCAGAGAATTTCACTATCCATTAGACTGAAATGAATACCCTCTGTCACTGGAGGGGCTGCAGTGACCGTAAACTAGAGCAATGTGATGTATGTAGATTTGGGAGCCATTCTCTGACACTATTTTGTGACGGAATATATGCAAAATCCGAAGTGAGTCTACTCTTAATCTGCGCATGACCGATTCTTGGTCTGTTTTGGACAAATATGCAGTCATCTGAATAGTCTCACTCCACACAGTGCATTACACTTTGAATATCTCCAGACTAGGCTCCAATATAGCCCTCCACTCTCCCACCTTGTCTGCCTTCTCGCCCCGGGGACAAACGCCAAAAATCGCCCGCAAGTACCCAATCGCATCCTGCATGCTCTCCTGAAGAGAAAAGCGAGGCTCCGTCTCCAGCAATAGGTCCACGCCGCGGATACGGCATCGCTCGTCAAAGAGTGCACGTACACGTTTCTGCTCTTCCACAGCCTGCGCATTCCGCTGACCATTCCAGAGGAATGCCTGCGCAGGATCCCACAGCTGGACTGGCACCGACACCGGAAAACTCCCAGTCCAAAATCGCCGTGACACGAGCCGCAGTCGGGTCGTACATGATATTGGCCACGTGGAGGTCCTTATGTGCCAGGACATATCGCGTCATTGAGTTCCGGGAACTACGGCATGACATCGACCCAGGCGTCGAGGCGGGGGAGAAGGTCCCGCCTGGCCTCCAAGAAGGTATGCACACGGATGGCGTGCTGGTAAACACGGACTAGTGCTACGATATATGCGGTGTATGACTCGTATGGGCCGGTAATATTAATCGAGGCGACGGACTCACCGCAGGAAAGTAAGTCACAATATCGGGGGCCTGCCAGAAGGTTTCATCGAGAATGAGACGGGAAATGACCTGAGCAGAGGCGCCAGTTTCTGCCGTAGAGGGGGAGAGCACCTGTCCAGATACCCCAGACCAGGACTTTTGGTGCATCTGCAGGACAATATCCAGAATTTGGTCAACAATCACTGTCAGCTGTTCCACGGACAGCTGATCGTAAACCTCATGCAGACCAATGCTTGGGGAGCGCGTGAGCAGCGTAAATTCATAACCAAGGCTATTTTTGGTGGTAGCATCAAACCGGATGATCTCGGGAATTGGGATAGACGTATGCTGACGGACCCAAGTCATAACGGCGACCTCATTCTCCGTCTTGATGTGCGGGAGATGGCTGCCTGAGACCCGCAGAACGAGATCGACCGACCCGTTCCCACCATCCAAAGCCTCCAATTTTGGCGAAGTTTCGCTTGCATCTTCCGCTGAGAATGACAGCAGGTAGATGGGGTGGTACTCCGCTATGACAATAAGAGCTCTCACGCCGATGGGTGTGGGGAGACCCAAAGAGCGAGCGAACTCTAGCAAGGTCTCCTTGTCCAGGCTGGGAGGAAGGTACTGTGTGGGATCGCCCATGGTAAGGAGTTTGGTGCCTTTGTGTCTACAACCTCGTCTGAGATGACGTGGATGGATGTATATGTGACAATTCTTAGTAGCGTCGATGTTCAGCTGAATCTTAGCTGTATGAGACAAAGAAATAGGCCAGAGCATGTGACCGGTCCCGCAACTGAGCAGGGAACGTGGTGAGGCTCTCTGCACGCATTCTTGATTTCAAGTTACCACTTGGTACTAGATACCTGGGATTAAGCTCTTGCGACCATATGTATATTGCTTTTGTTAAAATCATCACACCCTACGTGGTCCGTGGCGGCCGCGTTACCTGGAACCCTTTCTCCTTCCGCTTGGGATATTTGAACCGCGCCAACATTCTGTGCGTCCAATGGCGCAACGTCTGTCGGCTGGGTTGATTTTCGTCCGGCGAAAGTAGCGTCGATGGCGACGTAGAGTCGTTATTCCATCTACCGTAGTAGAAGTCCGATTCTCTAACAGAATAATCTATCTCGGGTCTGCTGGGTACTTCTAACAGCTCGTCGAGTATATCCAGAGAACTTCGAGTCGGGCGAGAGCCACTGTATGATTCCTCGCTCAAACTTAACCCTACCGGCGAACCAACAGATCCTGATGCTGGGCTGGCGCACCCGGTTCTGGTTGGCAGGGGTTCATTTCGGCGTGGGGATCTATAGAAACTGGAGAAGTCCGTGACATAATGCCTACCTACAGGAGGTGATAGGGAGAAAGGTGTGGCCGAGTTGTCACTCTCCTTAGGGTGTTCAAGGGATGTCCCAGTTGAGCCCAACCGGTAGGAGCTGGCCAGGCTGTCAAAACTGTGCTTGTCTCGACTGTTGTTCAGGCCTTTCCCGTGGGGGACGACACTAGTGTCTCGAAGAGGAAAGGAGCGGCTGCCATGATTCAGAGGCTAATCGGTTAGTTCCTGCAAGTAGTTGTTATAGCGATGGGATCCTGGCTAGCTTACAGGAATCACAATCAAGTGGTCCGAGAATAAGTCATTATTTCCACTAGCCTTTTTCCAGGCACCTCGAGACAACTCCCACAGCGAGATAAGGAGGAAACCGAAGATTATTACCGCACCATGAAGGCACAAGATCACATAGCCGACCCATTGTTTCATCGCCTCATTCGAGGAACACACGAATGTAAGGCTCAACAAGAGAGATATAAAGCGAACAGCAGCACACCAGGCGGTCTTGGAAATGAAGAAGCTGGCCTGCCGCTGCATGGCCGTATGGATAATGAGAACGACTTCACACCCAACAAGCGTAAGTAGCTGTACCAGGCCCCAGTCCTGTAGCCCGCCGATTATAATGCCTTGAGCTAGTTGAATAGCATGTGGCAGATGATCCAAGTATCGCAGTAATTTGCTTGAGTCGGTCGGTGGACTGTCTTGGTCAGAGACAGCTGATGTATCGCTCAGATCCCTTTGTTTGAAATGCCGAGATATAAGATAATTTGCGCAAACGATAGCAACCATTGCCAAAGTGACTAAAGTGACGCGGTAGTTTGGAAGATATCCAATCAGGATCAATTCGTATGACATGTATGAAAGAAGAGGGACACTGAAGAATGATAGAGTCACCCCTAGAATGATATACCCTCCCTGCCAAAGGATTGCAGTTAACGAAGGCAAGTAGCCCGAGTCCGACGTTATTAGGCATAAAATCAGTAGAACCACAATAAGACCAGAAACTAGGATGAACATATTGATGAATGCATCGAGCATTACGTCAGGCATCTGAGGAAAACCGAGCATCTGTACCATGTACTCAAGCCCGTAGGATGCATTGCTAACATACATACCATCCTCTACTCCCGTGTATGTAAAGCCATGGTCAATAGGGCCTGTCCAATATAACAACGAGGACCAGGACACCTGGCTTACTATTGGCTGGTAGAAGCCTGGATATTCCATGGTAAGTGAACCAGCCAGAAAGACAAACTGGAGGTATCGTATATAGTCGGTGATATCAAGGATGATCTCCCATATAGGGCCCTGATTGGCCCACGCAGCTCTGCAGCCTACTTTCACCCCCGCTTTATTATGGTGCTTTAGCCACGAAGTGATCGCAACAAGGACCACTACAGCGGCAGGTATATAGGTAAAGGCTATAGCGGCAGCTTTCCCAACGTCTGGGGTAATCTTCACCGCCGCGCAATCGATTTCGGACCCGTCAGTGGTTTTAAAAGCAATCTCCATGGCTAGGGTCTGCAGCCGGTGGGTATTGCCGAACGAGTACGTAAACAAGTACTTTGAGAAAAGCAACCCCTCAGGACTGAAGAATAGCATAAGCGATGTGATAAAATGGTACAAGAATAGATGGACGAACTAATGAAGTACTTACGGTGTCAGCGCCTCAGTAATTGTGAGGGGACATTGGCTCTCAAAATTCTCGACCTTGCCGACGGGGAAACCGAGCACATTAAAGCGCGATTCCGTGTCAAGCCCGGTCAGGTTGAGGTCATTGCATGTAAACTGCGATTCATTGTGGACGCCGAGGATTGACAATGACAGTAAGGTCGAGCCATCGAACGTGTCGAACGAGCCGCGAAGGCTGTCAATCCAGAATGGGGACTCCCCCGGCACACTGGACCGTGAAGAGTCACAATGATACTTCCGCACCCATGCAGCTTGACAACTCAGGACATAGACAGCAAGGTTTAGGAGAAGACGGCGCCAGGCGATCCACCGAGGCATGGCACGTGGTCAATACCCCCTAGCGTAGTATAGAACTGATGAAGTTGGGTTAGGAAATTAGAGATGCATTGGTATATCTAGCGCTAATGCGACCACCAGTGGAGGACGGTAACGGACTGATAAAGCACCATTCAAAATGCGTGCATTAGTTCCACATAGATTGCGGTGGATATTTTCAGCCTAGAAAAGCGGGAGAAGAAAAGAATCATGTTTGCTTTGTTTGCTTTGGCACATCCAAAAGGGAAATCGGGCCCACTCCCGAGTCGACTGTATTATGCTTCATTGCTTTCATCCAATCCGAACCGGGAAACAGGTACTTCAAATAAGCAAAATGGCTTTAAAGTGGAAAATGATTGTGTACTAATCAGCGGACGCTTCTAAGGATATGGTTGACCAGAAAATATATCTCTGTCAGTCAAAGCCCTTTAGGTATTGGTTCGACCACAAAGATATATATTGTTGTTTCTATATTCGGACGAAGTCAGCAGGTAGATGTAAGTATTCCGTAATTATTCTGACAAGTGACTTTTAAGAGTATGACCACTGGTAGTAGAATACATAAGAGGAAGAACTAAATTTGGTATTTTCTTAGTTATTCTTCCCAAACTAAAGTATTGGCTTCGATACCGGGCGATCAGAGCTCCGTTAAGCGAAGAAACGGGTGGTAGCAAAACCAGAGAACCTGGCGCATTCTTCATAACCTTTTAGACACTCGTGGTATTGACATAAGAGTATAGCTTCACAAGTCAAGAATGGATACATCATCCAACCTCTAGTCGAAGGGTATTGGCATTCGAAAAGTATAACCAGCTTTCTTACAGAGCTCCTGTTTCCGGGGGGTTCCACCGTATATGCCAACGAAACTGTTTCAAATCCAAATCCAAATATTTAACTCAATGAATATACATCGAAGCGCCCAAGCACTGCGTCGTGGCGGGTCCATGGTTTTGAGAGCTACCTTCCTGTGGATACAGGTGGAGCGCAAGAAAGCTTGGCACCATCATACTTTGGTTCCCTTACGGAGTGCATCAAGTTCAGACGTTGAGAATATTTACAGTCTCCTTCTTATTGCGAATGAAAAGTCGTATCGTAGAATATTCCCGAAGATGGTATTGCAGCATTGAAAGGCAACGTAAACCGAGAGCATGCATCGTGAAAAATCAACAAGGAGTTGATGTGAAACTGTGGTGGACACGACATGCCAGTCATGGACGGATATAATGAGGTATGAATCGTTAGATATCTCCGATACAAATTGCAGTGTTAGCCAGATCATCAGTGAGGGTGGTGTGTGTGTGGTATACAGGGGTGAGAATTTCTAAACTTACTTGACTAACAGGTTGACAGTCACAGCACGACGGGTGAGCTGAATACAAGGATCGCTTATCGCAATGAGTCTTGAAAGAAACAAAATGACCCGACGAGATTAAGTTGTGCTCTTCTCCATCACCAAAAACAAAGGAAGTTACGCATGGGCATATGCTCGAGGACTCGAGAATGAAGGGTAAAACATGAAGAGTGAATACGGGGAGATGTTGAGTCAAGTTGCATGTATGACTACTGCTCCAAGTGGGGATATGGGCTGGAAAAAAGCCAATTGTTCATTGAAGAGAATGTTGAAGTTGACAACTAACTTAATTTAATTTCCAATGACTGACATAATTTGTCGTGTAAAGTAGAATTGGTGGGTGATACTATAAAATGAAATGCGAATTGTGAAGTGTGAATAAAGAAGGCATAGAGGTGTTGGCTGTGTATAGCTTCAAGAGTGACGGATGTAGGAAGTGACGGCAGGGCTGAGTGAGGTTTGATGGTGCGGCATAATGATAAGGAATCAACGGGGTCAGTATCTTGAATGTTGCTGTGGATAACTTCACTGTTTCCTGAAAACCACGCAGCTGTACGCCAGGGACTTCTACTTTAGGAAGGCGATGAAAGATGGGGCATTTACGAGGGATGTATGTTGGCCTCAAGTCTAACTTCCAGCTTCAATGAAAAGGGATATCCCAGAAAAAGGCTGTGTAGAACTTCACATAAGTAATAGGAAAGAGATCATGTTGTTGGACTCCGGAAAAGTAAAGGGAGCGACTAACAAGGAATAATGATGGGTTGGAAATGGACACTACGAACAAGGACACAGTCCTCAACACCATGATTGAAGAATAACATACAGATCTAATGGACTTGTATAGCTTCGCTTTCTCTACAAGAAGGATAGAACATACCAAAGCAAAAGAAAAAAAGAACGATAGCGTGACCCGGGTGCTCTACCACCGCTACTCTCCCTCCACCCAAATCGTCTTCGTGCGTCGCGAGGGTTACCAGGTCCCCTCTCCCCCGTCGGGGTTACACTCATTGAAGACTTCTCGAAAGGCCTCGATTCCTGCGTCCAGGTTTCGAACGAGTGGTCCCATATAGGGAGCCACGCTGAGCGTTTCTTCAGGTCAGGTGGAAGTCCCAATGACCAGTAGGTCATCAGGTTCGCTGTGGCGACAGATTATTCTTGGACTTGGGCTAAATAGAGCGTATTTTCTTGCCTGAGGCTCGCTATAATAGGCCTTAGGTTGCAATGGTTGGTCTCAGGTTCGCGTAGTTTGCTGGGCTGACGCAGATTGCATGGGTGTGTCCAACACTCCAGACCAGTAGCTGATGATCCCGTGTGGATTTGCCAAATCTAAGCCATTTCTTGGCATATACCTTTGGAAATCAGTATTATTAGAAAAAGGAAGGATAGTTCTACTTTGATACAAAGGTATAAATCTATCGATTGTCTTGAGAGCCAATGGTGTTAATAGTATGCATTCTTAGCACTCATGGAAGCAAGCTCAATTGACTCAGTCTCCTACCTCTCATCTCACACTCATCTACATGGACCTACTGTTTACATCTACCATATACGGTGAATGGTACTGCGTGGTACTCAATAGTAGAAATTCCAGGGTTGAACGCCTATGTGACGATGTTACTACATAATACGGTATTACTTCTCAAACTTCCTTACATAAGTTTTAACTCGAGGAGTATATCTGACTTCATTTGATGGATCAAGAGTTATTCTGTTTTCTTACAACGGATGGATAACATTAGTTGCTGTCAAGTGGTCATAGTATGACGAGACCTATATACGGGATGTTGTTAAGCCTTTATGCCACTGATAGCTAATGACATGAAGCTGGTCGAGCTTTCCATGGCTACCAAAGTGGCGGGCCAAAACTCGATGTTCAACGGTGCGTCTCTACAAACCACCGTCGGGCGAGCTACAAGACTCCCAACGTAGCAGAGAAGAATATTAGGACATGCTATACCGCCCTGTACTCAATCTGAGTCTAGCACCGCCACTGTACAGTGAAATTACAGCCACCTCAAGAGAGCCCATCATCTGGAGCTGTTCCTGAAACACACACTCTGTATTATGCAAAGCTTCCAAGCACGTAATATGCATTAAGTTTAGCCCAAATAGCATATGCCACAAAGCTGACACTATTACTACAGGGTAGTATTTTGCTAGTGCTACCGGGGTCTAGATAGCGCCAGTGTAGGCCCAATAAACGGTCTAATCTAGGCTCTAGGCAGCAAAGACAAGCCTTCGAAACAACTTGTCAAGCTTTCTGTAGGTCTTAATCTATGAATATTAGTAGCGAAGCAACGCTGTGGTTCCATATCTGCACATCGCTAATGGTTCATTGTAAGCACACCACATAATAAGCTCAAATTTTGTATTGTCCAAGAGCTGCGGCAGCTGCTACTACTAGTACTAATAGGCGAGGTCCAGGGAAGTCACCGCTGCAAGTGGATCCTGTGGAAGTCTTGGCCCACTTCTTAGTCCAATTTTAGCGCGTGGCTTAAACTCGGCTGCCTGCCGCTGACGTCGTTTCGTTTCAGACCGACTCTTGCATTCTTTCAGGTTTGCAGTGTCTATATAAGGTGAGTTGTCCGGTGTTATGGTCACACCGAGTTCCCCATTATCGCATCCTTTGCTAATTTCTAGAAACACTCAAGCCTTGTCATAATCCCACCGCACTCTATCTTGTTTACCAAAAAATCGCATCGTATCCACGTAAAGCCTAACAGTCAAAATGGGCGCCTCTTCTATCTCCTCTCCGGTGAACTTTATTCTTCCGTCCTCCAGCTCCGGATCCTCCATTAAGAAACCCATCAAGTCCGTCCAAAAACCATGCTTTGGCTGTGACTGTGGCGATGAAGAGTGCGATTGCTGCATTTGCACTGTGATGTGATGTGATGTGATGATGTACGTTCGTTTACCTGGCTGAGCTCGACGACAATAGACGGTTAACGGAAGACTCAGGCCCAAGTTGGATCGGTCGACATCGGAATGGTCCGGGACAACGGTTGATACGACTTTACGGGTGTTGACAATATAACGTTTGATGTGGATTTGGGGTGATTACGGCCATGAGCTGGAGGACTTTTGCCGCTTTTCTGAGCGATAATTGTTGATATATACTGTTATTGATATCCATTTGAATTTCTCTGTTTGTCTCTCCGCCTCTTTCTTCTCTCCCTTTTCTCTTCTTTTCTGCTTGTCTCGGTGCTATCACTCGTAGATCCTACCTCGGGCCACTTACGATCTCTTGACTATTTTGTCATTAAGTAATGATTGACATCGCATGACTTCGCTTGATCAGTATTACTCAAAATATTAGGATTGAGAAGAAAAGAAGAAAAGAAGAAAGGAAGAAAGGAAGGAAGGAAGGAAGGAAGGAAGGAAGGAAGGAAGGAAGGAAGGAAGGAAGGAAGGAAGGAAGGAAGGAAGGAAGAAGAACGACAGAAAAAAGAAGAGAAGAAAAGAGAAAGAGAAAGAGAACATTTGCTCTATGTATCAGCCGCCTGTTCAAACATACCGGCGTTTACTGTTCTCTGCTGTTCATACCCGAACTTCAATAGGTGATTGTTGTTGCTCTCCAGTGACCCGTTTTGGTCGTTGAAGTTTGCTCAATGAATAAAGGTGTGAAACAAGCAAAACTACGCCAACGAAGCCAATAAGGCTAAAGAGTACGAAAATAGAAAGGGCCTGTAGTTTCATTGTACATCTACAACTACAAGAATACTCTCAACGTTTTCATCACTCTCATACTTACGAAGCAGTCGAATCTCCCACAATGCCATTTCCGCTGCTGAATTTACCCACCGAATTACGGCTCGAAACCTATTATCATCTTTTTGGCATCTCACCTACTACACGACTCTTCCTGCAATACTTGCCCGGATACCTTACTGGATGCAAACATCCATACCATACCTTCGAGATCCTGCATTCTGCTCTGCCAACTCCACATGTCACGGAATACCAGGACCAGAGTGTGTATCCACCAATGAGTTGGGCCCGTCAAGAGAGCTTCAGTCTCTTTCTCGCCATCTTGGTGACCTGTAAACAGGTCTACAAGGAAGCAATGCGCTATTCTACTCTGAGACGTTCTTCGTATTGCCAGGACTCAGGACTATCAACTGTCTGAATGGGATCGGTGCCCAACGAAGACGGTGTATCCGGCGGTTAAGTATTGAGTATGGAGTACCGGAATCGCGGAAAGTAATCGGGAACGATACACAAGACAGTATGCAGGCACTTCCCGAGAGGTTGATGGATGTGGAGCGTGTCGATGTCCTGGAGCTACGTATATTCAGCAAGCTGTATACGGATGATCCCTCTTTAGTGCGTCGGGGTGCTCTGCACTTCGGAAACCGACTGAGCCACTCCTACTATATGGCATTCAGCAGCCAGAGCGGCTGCCACGAATGGGTTGTTTACAGATTGTGGGGGATCCAGAATCACTCCTACGGTTTTCTGAGGATCAGGCTTATCTAAAGGCTATAGCAGAAGGCAAAAAACCTGCTGGACTTGGCAAAGAATATGCGAATAGTCCTGTTGTGAAATGGGTAAGGCGAAAGGGGTATTTCTTGTTTAGTAGTAGCAAATGAATGGCATACTCAATAGTCAGGTCAGTGAATATGACTATGTGAGTGACAGTCAACTTGTTGTATCCATCGTTAGCTGCATGTCTGTCAGATGTCGGGACTTCCTTTAGGTCTTGTAGTCAAAATAAGATGGGCTGGCACATACGCCACCGGTCTATTTAGATACTGAATGACTGTTGATGTGGACGCTTTCCTTGGTTAAATTCTATTCAGCATGTTACCTCTCTCCCTTGCTCCCTCCGCGGTCTCCCATTCATTAGACACCAAGTCCTAGAAGCGTTCCCATAGCCTGGCCTGACTACCCACTAGCGGCAACTACTTTGGTGTTCCCTTTTCCCTTCCCTTTCCCTCCCTAATGTGGCGATCCGCATGAAAGTGACAATGGGAGACATTGCAACCTGAAGAGACCATCTTCCGCCTGCATACCATGGCAGCTTTAGGCCTCGAAACCGTACCTCTGTTGAAAATCACCGTTGCGATTTTTCTTAGATTCCATGCTAGACTCCGTAGACCATGACCAATCACTACAATTCGCCTTATTGCGGTGCCAATGTCGGGCGGAAAAGAAGCGGTGACTCATTCGCTTAGTTGGGGGTAGTTAGGGCTCGCTTACATCCAACCATCTGGACGCGGGTGGATAGGAGAGTAATCTCGCCAGGGCGGAAGAATGAGCTGAGGTAGGGGAGGCAAACAGTATCGGGCGATTGCTCAGCGGAGCTGAGCCTGAGTGGATCTTTGACACGATTGATGAACTGCTGTTTGTACCCCATCGGCATTTATAGCGTTCCGCGTTGTCGACCTCGCCCGTTCCGTTTGGTTATTTTCCTCCGCCCCCCACATTCGTCCGAAAAACACTGTCGAGATCAAAAGAAAAGTCTCCACTCTACTCCCTGCTTCAAACACGCGAAACAATAGTATCGGGCATCATTTCGTGAGAAAGGCGTAGCAACCTGGCAGCAGCCTCAGACTGTGATGAAGTGTCATGAAATTACGGTGAAGTGTCACGCGCCAGCCAATGGTAGCAACGGTGCGCTGGATAGGGCTGCCAATCGTTACAATTATTCCCACAGAGTCACTCTAGTATTGCTAGAAATCTAGGCCAACTACTGTTTCCAGACTTACTAATGATGCTGAACATCATGGGCATCGCAATACAGGGCAATGGCAGAAGGCGAAGTCCTATGGCCCACGTGTTCCGAGATCCACCTAGTTTGTTCTCAGCCATGATTGACAGTTGATCAGCCCTAGTATCCATCACTAGCATGTTTGAATGTAAACGTGTAACAGGCACACCCTCAGCGCGGCACATTAGACTCTCGAGTTTTGGGCGTGGCCAGCTGAACAACGAATCAGTAGTGGTTTGACTGGGGGTCTCGTCCATTCTATGTCCAATGAATTCTGCCAAGTAGCCCCCATAGCCTTAGAATGGCTATATGCAACGAATAGAGAAATCTCCTAACAGTGTTCGCATCGCAAAAGCCCCGTTGTCTAGTGGCCTGATACACTACTTCTACCCTACATGAGTAATATAAGAAGGGAGTGTCTTTCGCACTCTTCTCAGTATCCCATCATTCAATCACTCAATCAATACTACCACTACGATCCAAAGTTTCTCTCCATTCTCCATCACCTTCCACTCTAGCCCACCATGTCCTTCCACTACGATACTCGTCAGGGAGACAACGAGCAGTACAGCATGGGATTCGAAATCGGCGGCCGCCAGTCAGACGCCTTCCCCACGCCATGTTCTGCCCTGAAAGCTGGTGGATTCGTCCTCCTCAAGGGCCATCCTTGCAGGATTACGGACATATATCCATGTTCAGCTGACGGCTCCGTGGTCCAGATTCTGGGAACCAATGTCCAGACCGGAGAAATATGGGAGGACATATACCCTCTCCGCGAAACGGTCTTTGTCCCTCGCATGTCCCAGGAAAATTACAGTCCGGTGAGTGTGAATCTTCACGCGTCTCTCAGACTCGCACATTGCCATTAGGAATCCAAACTGACTTGAAATTGTCATAGACTTCATCCAGCCGCAAGGGAAGCATGGACCTCCAGAGCCGCAGAGCGGGCCCTGGTAGCCACATAAGTGCCAGATCCCGCCAACCCAGTGACGCTGGACGTTACCTCAAGTAAGTACATACCTATCAGAGAACACTGGCGCTAGAGACATGAAGACGTGAAGCTTACGATTGTTACCACCTAGTTACTGAACTTCGGACTATTCTCGCGATGTCGTTGCCATGAAGATTCTTGGACGTTGCGAGTCTGTTTGATTAGTTAGGTACACGATGGTTGATCCATCGATGGGCTCTGGTTGGAGTTGATTTGGTTCGGTTGTTTAATGTTTCGGTCGATTTTTCCTTGGATATATTTGGTTCACATCTTTTGTTATTACATAGACTGGATCTCGCTTTCCTTGAATATCACTCTGTGGTTCTTTTCGTGATAAACAGTGACGTGCTACTTATCCATTACATAGATGGACGATCTCCATACTATCTCCAACCAGGTCTCAGAAGAGATAACAAGGACATGAACTGAGTACATAATATGACACAAAAGCGAGCGAGTGTCTTCGCAACTCAACATCCTCCTCAGCACGTGCAACAAGATTACCTTCACCACATGACGTCATCTGACCATATCCCCAGAATGGCGGGAACCCCAGCCAGAACCACGCCAAATATAGGGTATCACGATCATTTCCCTCGGGAGTCCATCACTTGGACCCGAAAATGATCTCTCCAGTGGGGCAGCCTCTATCTTGGGCTTGGGTTATCCGCCGAAGAACCAGGGACCAGCTTTCCCGTCACCATGACGCAATGGACTGGTACGCAGCGAATTTTTGTTTACTTATAAATAACGCCCGTTTGCTTTGAGAGCTGTTACAGTCTGTAGCATATTGTCAATTGCATTATAGAACCTCGATTTACTCTCTTACCATTCCTCCCTTTAACCGAATACTCCTTTTACTAGCATAACTTACCAAGATGTTGAGTCGCAGCTCCAGATTCGCAACAAGTTGCTCAAGACAGCAACTCTACCGCCAAACAAGAGCCCCCCTGCGCAATATACGCTCGCGCTACTCCACCTCGACAGAATCAGGCTCGACGGGTGGTTCCCCCGCCGTAATCGGTGGGATCGCCGGTGGCACCGCCGCTTTTCTGGCAGGATGGGTCTGGTACCAGTTCTCCGGGGCGAAGACGCTCGTGAAGACTGCGAACCAAACGGAGACGTACTTCAAGGAGGCCAAGAAGAAGGTCGCCCAGAATACCCCCGAGCCGGATGAAGCGTTCGGGTGGTTGAGAGACACGGCCAAGAGCTACGCGTCGTTTATCCCCGGCGCGAAGAGCTACGTTGATACGGCGTTTGATGACCTAGAGCGCATCAGACGGAACCAGGGGAAAGAGTTTGATGAGATTGTGCGCGATGCGTACAATGACTTGCGGGAGGTCTCGAAGAAGGAGAAGCTTGATGTGGATACCGCGGTCAAGGTGCGCGATGTGCTGGAGAAGCATTTTAAGCGGTTGTATGAGCTGGCGGGTGATTCTGCGGAGGATATCTTAGATAATCATCCCGAGCTCAAGGAGAAGTTCGGTGGTAGCTTTGATCGTCTGAAGGAGATGGGTAGTGCTTATGGTCCTCAGGCTCAGGAGGAGGTGGATAAGACTTGGAAGCAGGTTAAGGATATTGTCGCCGGTGGTATCAGCTCTGATACTGTCGAGAAGATCCAGAAGGTGGCTAAGGAGAAGGAGGAGAAGCTTCGGAAGCTGGGGGACGAGGCCTGGAAGCGTGGTCTCGACGAGGCCCAGCCTTACCTTGAGAAGAGTCCGAAGATCAAGGAGTTTGTTGAGAGGAACACAGACGCCTTGAAGAAGGGCAACTACGCGAAGATCTGGAGCTTGATCAAGGAGAGTTCCTCCTCGGGAAACACGGAAGACCTGGAAAAGTACGTCAAGGATCTCGCTAGTAAAGCCAAGGAGAGCGGATTCGGCAATCTGGATAAACTGTCAAACATGGTTCCCGGCGGTTCCCAGATTCTTTCCCAGCTGCAGTCGCTCCAGAATGCTGCGGAGAAGAAGGGCGCAGAGGCTGAGAAGCTTCTCAAGGAAACTATCGATGACCTCCAGGGAGTTTTGTCCGAGAAAGTGAAGAAAGCGGAGCAGCTTGCTGAGGAAACGGAGTCTGAGACCAAGTAAGCTGGGATAACGATGTGCTAGTTTATTTATGCATTGCATGAGTCGAGGCTCCGTCTGGCGAAAGATTAATATAATCAGAGGATGTATTCTTCGATGGCGCTGAATTCTGGAAACCGGCGTTGTTATTCGGGTCTAGGTCAGGGATGTCTTATGGCAGGTAGATACTAAATTAACAATATGATATATCAATTCAATATCTTAATTCTCCGAGCACGTTTCATGTGTCATTTCTAGAGGTGCGAGACAAACTTACCTGCCTAAGGCCAAAACTAGTTGAAAGGCCAAAGCCACCGCCTATTTCTGCCGGCAACGTTCAGTACCGCATCCAGAACATGACAATGCCGCCCTATCCTGCGACCATTTTTCGCGATTGCTTTCATCTAACAGATTAACTGAATTGGCCGGTCTCACGGGCGTTAAAAGGATACGATAGATACGTATAAAACCATAACGACGCACCGCCATACCTCACAGAAGACCAATCCCACACCTCCCTCATCGCCAAAATGTCCTCCGGATTCGTATCAGCCGGAACAGACCAAGAGCCCATAGAGCGCGACGATGAATGGCTCCGCGCCCAACAGGAGCTGGAGGAAGAGCGGCGGCGCAAGGCAGAACTAGGCAAGCAAGCCGAGGGCAAAAGTCTGTATGAAGTGCTGCAGCAGAACAAAAGTGAGTCTCCGGTATCCTGAGCGGGCCAGCTTGCGCAGATCACGGATATTCGTTTGGATTGACATGTTAGGGGTGATTGTTCCTCTGCGATGAAAAGTGGCCAAACAGGAAGCCTTTGAGGAGAAAATTAAATTGAAGAATCAGTTCCGTTCGCTGGACGAAGATGAGGTCGAGTTCCTGGACTCCATTATGGAGTCGACGCGCGCGCAGGAGGCCGCTGTGAAGAAGGAGACTGCTGAACAGCTGGAGGCTTTCCGTAGACACCGGGAGGAGGCGGAGAAGGTTGCCCTTGAGGAGGGGACTGCGGATGTTACTCCTGCCGCTGAGGGAGAGGATTGGAAGATCCCTGCGCGTAAGAGGAGGAGGGACAAGAAGGATCTTTTGCTTCCTGGGAAGAAGCGCAAGTCTACCGCCGAAGGTGCGGAAGAGACTCCGTCGACTGGAGAGCAGAAGGTGGATCCAAAGGACAAGGGTTCTGGAAAAGATGATAAGCAGTCTGTTCCAGTTCCGGCTGAAGCCGCTAAAGTTCACAAGTCACAGCCACCTGCGAACACGGCGACTTCTGCTAGTCCCGTACAGGCCGGGGGCGTGAAGGTGACAGCGCCTGAACAGACCGAGAAGCAAGCGGCCAAGCCAGCTCCGGTATCTCTTGGCTTGGCCGGCTACAGTTCCGACTCGGAGTAATTGTAATTGCAATTTCGCTGGGACCACGTATCACACCCATTGACCTTTTGGCGCATCCTTCGGTAACGCTTACAATACGTGATTCATCTTGCGATACCAATGGATCATTGAGCTTGAACATGCCTGGCCAGTGATCACGGCCACTCTACAACCAGGTTTTGATAAAATGGTGAACGTGCGAATCTAGCAATCGGAAGACACAGTGTTCCAGCTATTTCAAAAAATTAAACAGACTAACTCGCAGCATATTTGATGGTCCTCGATTCATTTACAATGCATTGTCCTGGTTACTTCGGAAACCAACACCATTATGTCCCAAAGTGTATACAATATGTATGTGATTATATTGTGAAAATATCAAAGCAACAACCAACTCTTGTACTCTACCCCATTTATGGGGAATCATTCTTCTGACTCCGTCTTCCGCTTTCAACACCTTGTATTATCTTTGTCCATCAGCGCTTCACTCCTTGTGTGTCGCGAAAACCTCTTGCTTCACTTCTTGCTCCTCAACTTTGTGCTCTAGGTCATGTGGCAGGTAATCCTCCTTCTTGGTTCCTACCACGATCCATGGGGAGTTGGAGAACAAGTAGTTCATCTCCTCAAGCGGCAGCTTCTTCGTCTCGGGCAGCAACAACCAGAAGAAGATTGCGTTGGTGAAGTTGCAGATAATGAAGAGGAAGTAATACCGGTAGCGGACATTCTGCATTGCGATTGGTGTCACTTGGCCAATCATGGTGTTGAACGCATAAGAGGTCATGGTAGCGATGGAAACACCCTTGGACCGAGTTCGCGTATCGAAAACCTCTGCCGGAATGATCCACGACAGAGGACCACAGGTGCAAGAGAATGAGAAATTGTACAACCATGTCATGATGATGAAGCCCCAGTGAGCCCCTGAGTTGTTGACTTCGGGGGGAAATCTTGCCAACAGGATGCATGCGATGATGAAAGTGACACAGTTACCCAAGTTTCCGAAGATCAGACTTCGCCGTCTACCGAAGCGGTCAATGAACATCATACAGAGGAACTGGGCTACCAAGGCAATAACGGAATTGATCGCCTGGTAGCGCAATGTTTCATCTCCCTTAATTCCGATTTGCTCATAGATGGTCACGGAATAGTACCTGCCGGAAAGATTAGTGGCTGATATCTATAGAGAAAGCGGGCCTTTCGGATGTTTCGAAAGTCCAGGTTAAGAGGTTTTCCATAGGAACTTACTGGATGGCTGACACTCCGGTCATCTGCACTGATGCCTGCAACGCGCAGCAAAGGAAAAGACGGCGGAACGATGACCGAGAATTGAACAACTCCAGGTATGACTTGGCTTCATTCTCATGCTCAAACGTGATACTCTCCTGGATCTGGTTATATTCAGCACGGACCCATGTGTCATTCACGTCTCCATGGGCGTGAAGCTTTGCAAGCGTCTGCAGGCCCTTTTCGTGCTCGCCATGGTCGATAAGCCAACGCGGCGACTATCCTTGGATTAGCTACGACAACTGTAACAACATGCGGATATACTCACCTCTGGGAAAAACATGATCAAGAGACCCAAAAACACGGCGGGAGCCACTTGTAAACCGAGTGGGACCTGCCACTGAGCATTGTTTGTTGGCTCAAATCCAATATACGTGCCATATGAGATCCATGCAGCGCACAGGGAACCAACACCCAGCATGAACTGCTGCAAAGATGTCACACGACCTCGAATGTCGGGATGGCAGATCTCAGCCTGATATAGCGGGATGATCATGGTAAGGAAACCGACACTATGCAGTTATTAGAGTCTTGAATCTCACTTTCGTATCTTTGAGGCGTACCCAAGTCCGGCGAGGAATCTTCCACTGTATAAGTATGCAACTGTCTGTGCTCCAGTCTGGAGCCCTCCACCCAGACAAAAGATTACACAACCGACGGAGATGGTCTTTCTTCTGCCGAGAATATCACCGCTGGGACCCGCAAATGCTGAGCCAAAGAAGGCACCTGCCGTGAACATGGACACGACCAATCCGCTAGTACACAGTCCGTGAGCCAATTTGATACAGTATTATCTCTTCCGCATCTGGCGTGAGACTTACGTCTGAGTGTCATCTGCTTCAAACTTATCTTCAAATGACTGACAGGCAATAACCTCCGCGATCACACCCAGATCATCTTGAGCCGTACAGTCAGTAATGTCTTGATATGCATGGCGCTTTATCACTCACATCCATAAAGGAACGATCCGAGCGAGGCGAAAATGCCCACCAGAAACTGTGCAATCGATCAGCAAAGACGAAAGGTCGTTCCTTCGTTAACGTCGATACGCACCTGGTACCATGCCGGAGAGAGACGCATGGTGATCTCAATCTGAAATCTCAAGCAATCCAAGTGCCCACTATGCCCTGAAAGCAAAACTCAATAGGTAGACCGGTGGACCAGATGCGGGGATTTCCCTGGGGTATGGGGTTCCGCAGGCCTTTAAGAACTTCTGGGGATCGGAAGCCCACATCCAGCACTAAGGCTCCGGAGCCTTTGACAACAATCTATGGGATCATGGCCCATAGTGTCTCGTGGTGGAATTCCGGAGCTCTTTCCCAAAAGCATGGTACGGGCGCCATAGCGTGTCAATAATTCCTGGATTCCACACCAATGAAGGAACATCCCATGAGACAGGATTCAATTGGCGCTTGACCGTTTGTGGGGGGCCGTCGTGGTGTGGCTTTCGGGATCGCGAGATACTCGTGCAAGCGCGAGCCCTGATTGATGGAAGATCTCGTGGCGTTGCCTCGGCTTCAAAACCAAGACGACGGCGCCGCACCTACGCATCGCCTGCACTCTCTACACATGATTCATGCCAATTTCCTGCATGGTCTGGAACAACCCCGCAGGAGATTTTCCCATTCCATTGCGATAGCTACGATGCGTGTGCAGCCCACATTAATTAGTTGGCGCTGTCCAGCTGCTTCCGCCACCGGTGTTGGACGAGTACTTAGTCGAGCACCATCTTCCCTCTTTTTCTACCAATCAATAACTCGGGCAGTTCAATTTACCACTTTACGGTTCAATTGTATGATATTTTAACGGCCGCAATAATGACTACCTTCACGAAACTTAGCGATCAGGATACGCCGAGTATCGCCATCCACCCAACCCGGCGTATTTCCAAGATCAATCCCAACATCTATGCAGGATTCACAGAGTAAGCTTGGAGTTTTGCCTGTTCGGTACTAGGGCATCAAAGGAATTAAGCTCATGTATGATCGCAGACACATGGGCCGATGCATCTACGGCGGCATCTACGACCCGGGTAACCCCTTGTCAGATGAGAATGGCTTCAGGAAAGATGTCCTCGAGGCTCTGAAGACGCTCGACATTCCCGTGGTCCGCTACCCTGGCGGCAACTTTATGGCAACGTATCACTGGATCGACGGTGTCGGTCCTAAAGACCAGCGTCCTGCACGGTATGTTTTGCGGTGATGAATCTTGCTGCCCCTCCTCTCGTGGTGTCCTCGAGCAGCATTGGCCTTTTTCCAAGGATATCTCGGCCACTGGAGAGTTTCGAACACAATTGCTGACTATCAAAAGGCCTGAGCTGGCTTGGCTGGGCACCGAGACCAACCAGTTCGGAACTGACGAGTTCCTCAAGTGGTGTGAAGTTCTTGGAACTGAGCCCTACTTCTGCCTGAACTTTGGAACTGGTACTCTTGATGAGGGTAAGCTTTGATCTCAACCCCATTATTAAAGTCTTGCAAACTAATCGGCCTTCTATAGCACTGGCATGGGTTGAGTACTGCAATGGCACAGGAAACACTTACTATGCAAACCTCCGCCGGAAGAATGGCCGCCAAGAGCCGTACAATGTATGCACCTTTCTCATGCTGATAATATCGCTTGGCTGACATCACACGCACAGGTTAAATACTGGGCTCTCGGAAACGAGACCTGGGGGCCATGGCAGGTCGAGCAGATGACCAAGGAGGCATATTCGCACAAGGCCTATCAATGGGCAAAGGGTAAATACCAATGTCCAATACCGCTATGAGGAAAAGTACTAATCATATTCGATAGCTCTTAAGCTCCTTGATCCCAGCTTAGTTCTGATCCTCTGTGGACAGGACGGTACCGCATCGTGGGACTACTATACCCTGAAGCACTGTTTGCTTCCCGTCAATTCGCCTCTATCTACGAGTGCTGTCCCCCTCATTGACATGCACAGTATTCACCTGTACACCTCATCATCATCTCATCTGCCTAATGCCACCGCCCCTCTGGCTGCTGAGCGTGCCATTGAGATCACGTCCTCCCTGATCGATCTCGCCAGGATCGAGAACGGAGTTCCTCCAGAGCAAACACGTCCAACCATCTGCTTTGATGAGTGGAACGTGTGGGACCCCATCCGTGCCGAAGGCAGCAAGGGTGCTGAGGAGTGCTACACGCTTTCCGACGCGCTTGCTGTGGCCGTATGGCTCAACGTCTTCGTCCGTAAGAGCAAGGACTTGGGCATGGCATGCATTGCGCAGACCGTCAACGTTATCTCCCCGCTCATGACCACCCCCGAGGGCATCACCAAGCAGACCACATGGTGGCCTCTGTACCTGTTCTCTAAGTACATGCGTGGCTGGACCATCAGCGCGCATCTCGAGAGTGCAACCTACGAGGGTGAAACCTCTCCCAAGTGGATCCGCGGTGTCAAGGAGACCCCGTGGTTGGACGTCAGCGCCGTTCTGGGTGAGGATGGCTATGTCAACGTTGCCGTGGTCAACATCCACGAGGAGAAGGCTATTGAAACCAAGATCGAGGGTGCCTCGGGAGAGGTCGCCGTGTTCACTGTCACTGGTGACAATGTCGCAGCTACCAACATGAAGGGCAAGGAAGAAGTTGCCGTGGTGGAGAGCACCTGGGACGGACAGGGTCCCTACGCATTCCCCAAGCACTCTCTCACCCTGCTGAGATGGAAGGCCTAAGTGTCTCTGGCAGACACCACCGCCATAATAGAAATGAACCAGATAGACTAGATAAATCCATTACATTTGTACCATCAATATCCGTCACACATGGCTGTGTCTCATCATCGATGAATCTATCCATCATCCACAGTCATATACACATTATCATACCCTCAACCGAAGTTAACATCATGGACCGTGCCCTTATCATCCAGATGCACATTCAACCTGTCAACAAACCACATCAGTCCCATATCTTTACTACTAGAGTGCATAAAAATCAAGATACAAAAACATACCGTTCAGGCCTATAATCCATCGTCATCATATCCCCCGGTTTAACAATGCGATGAGACTTGGGCAAATCCTTCTTTGCGAATGACTAGTACCAACAACCCACAAATTAGCCTGACCCCCTAAACCCACACTCTAGAAAATATACTCAAGGGAAATGAAAAACATACAGTAACATCGCTCGTCCCCTCCGTGATCGTCTTCCCGGCCAGCTTAGTGAGCCATTCGTTCTTATCGCCGTCGTTCACCTCGGGGATGACAAGAGGCATGGTGGAATGGGGTTTTCTGGTTTGGAATAGGAATAGCGATGGTGTTTGTGTTTGTGTTTGGCGGTTTGATAGTATGAGTTGTTTGGATGGTAGTCGAGAGGGAAAACGCATGAAATGATGGGGAAAGTGATTGAGGTTGCCTGAGGGGTTCATCTCTTAATTTAATTTATACATCATCACGGGTCAACTGGCGATGATGTCATGGGAAGGCTTAGCAGGGTTCTTTCTTTTTGGGGTTAGTGCGCTTCTCGGGTGGATTGGATCGGCCGGCCCGGTGTTCTGTATTACGATTAATTACCATAGATGTGTATTTTAGGGGAGTATACGATGTACTAAATAGCTATCTACAATGTGGTACTAAAGGATGAAAGCATAGGCTACGTAAGGACACTCATTTATGTAGTTGGTTTAGTTATTCGCGATCAACTCTACTTGAGTTCCAACCTACCAGCTCAATTCGTTCGTACTATCTAACTGTCGAGTATAGTCCACAGACTCAGAAGATGGTCAGTAACGAGATACATATATTAAAAATGCCCATTGCTAGCAGCGAATAGTGGCGTGTAGGTCGTCGATAACCATAATTCGCTAGCGTTGCGCCGAAGAGTAGCAATGGCAAAAACACTAGTAAAGAAAATCAGCAGACTGGCTACGTAGAGGGCAATAAGAAGAATCCCTTACAATTTGGTCGATGTCCCAAGAAATATGTTATAAGAGACCAAAGTAAGAACGCAGCGGAGCCGTAGAGTGTCCCTATTGTAAGAATTAATTCGTCTATACGATACTATACACATTTCGCTTAGAAACTGACAGTTGCAGATGAATCCAATATATGACTGCTCCCAGGCGTCTTCTTTATCTTCACGGACACTGTTGTAAAGACAGAGCCCTATATCCACTCCAAATACCTTCTGAAGATATTCTAAGGTTGCATCGTGAAGCTCAGAGCCCCGCCCTAATCGCCAGCAGCGGGCAGCCTCGTCGGCAAAGTTCTCCTCTGTTTTATGCTTGGATGTGAGGGTCTGTCTGATATAAGTCCGGACTTGTTCTGGGCCAGCGGATCGATCAGGAATTCGAGTCATTCCGACGAGAAAACATAGATTCTAAGTGGATTCGCGACGTTCAAGATGATTTGCAGAGCCGAGGCTCTCATACCTTGAGATTCTCTGGATCGTTCATTTTAGCGCCTGCCACGATACACTAGAGTAAAGATAGTTTAGTGTAGGGATAACATTGATCCGAAATGTTTTATATCCAGAATTGCTTAGTGCCGCCAGCGATCTGAGTATCTGGCGCTTGGTTCTATCTCGCTAAGACGCCGCCGAGCTTGCCACTAGGGTTTTTATGAGGGACTAGTCTGACGATCTTCCAGCTCGATGCTCTAACTTTCAATAGTAAATATTACTGAATCTACAGGTTCCATAGTTGAAATGCCGATCCTGATTTCTTAGTAAAGAGATGCTTGTAGGATGGCTCCCTTCCCGTTAATAAATAGTGTGCTTTCCCAATTGCTCTATTTTACATTAATTTTTATGTCCTTGACGCCCAAGTTCACTATTCCTCCAGATTTAAAACAGCCCTGTTGTCCCTATACTTCCGTGACTTACGTCAAGATGAGGTTTCGCGTTATATCTCGCTCTAGTTCCAGCCCTCGGGGAGCAGTGATGGTATTAACGGCTATGGCCGTGGCAATAATGGCTACGGTCTAAATGGCAATGGCAATGGCGGCAATAATAGTATCGGTCCGAACAGCAATGGCAATGGCGGCAGCGGAGGCTCCGTTTGCGCTGCAGGGCTACTCTATACCCAAGCACAGTGTTGTAGCACTGATGTGCTAGGCTTGGCCGACTTAGACTGCAAGCCAGCGCGTAAGTAGACAAGTACTCTGCTGTTTCCATTTTGCAAATCTTCTTACCTCGGCCTCAGCTCGATCGTTTAGCGGCATCAATGATTTTAAGGCTGCCTGTGCCTCCGAGAACCGAAGCGGTAAATGCTGCTCCATCCCAATTGTAAGTTACCAATCCTCACGTCATATTTGTTATTTGTTAACGTTGTGCTAAATCCATTCCTATGTCAGGCTGGCCTGGCTTTAGTGTGTCAAGACATTGTTTGATCCAGATTGCCATAACGTGCTTCAAATATCTGAAGGTCCCCAGAATAGCAGAATAGCAGCACCAGGAACTGAATTGTGACTAGTGGAGGCGTCATTTTGTTTACCTCGTTGTTTTCGTATGCAGCGTATTGTTCGAGATATATATTCTCCTATAATAGTCCTACGAGAGCTTAATTTCACTTGAAGACCTTTCCTTCAGGTTAAGAGTCGCTAAACATAGTTCCCTAATCCAAGGACGTGAGGTGGCATACAGACTACGCTCCGGTTCCTCTATACGACAGCTTCAACCTCATCGATAAACTACCCAAGTCCCGTCTTTATCATAATGCAATCCCAGGGTGCTGAAGGGAAGGTACACTACGGGACGTTCCTGCCTCAAAGGCGGACATCACACTCGCGTCTCGATTATCGTTAAACCTTGATTATGTCTATGATGGCCATTCTGTCACTTTGCTGTTTTGAGTCCATCCGCTCTTTTTGTGCCTCTAAAGCTGTACTCTGTCGCTTAATGTATCGCTCCAGCTTCTTATAGATCCTTACTGAGATGTGACTTCTTCATTCTTATTGCCATTTCGGGGTCGTTCGTTGGAGGCAACTTGCGGCGCCATCATCCACTCGCGTCTGGTGAGATACCAGTTGAATTTGCAGTTTTGTCTCTTTGACTTCTTCTTGGACCGCCATAGCGAATTGTGTATCATGCCGTATACACAAATCGGATCTCAGTCGAGTTGGATAAAAGAATCACAAATTGCAGCTATTGTACCGGAAAACATCGTTGCAAATGAGCGGATCAGGGAAGCGAAACACGCACTCAAGCATCAGGTACCCGACTACTATAAATTGGCAACGTGCATACCAACCTTAACCACCATTGAGAAACCAACAAAAACCGTCAAGGTGCCTTCGACAAGAATCGATGAGCTCCTCAAACGTTCAGTAGAAGAATCTCCCAGGCCAACGACAACCCACAACAACTTAGTCCCACACTGGAGCTATGAAAAAAACTCCCTTGCGGTAGCATGCGTCTTCAGTGCCATCACCGTGCTAGGTATCATCTTCCTCGGCGTCCTCTCCGTCCGAAAGATCCGGAGAAGCTGGAAGCGCCACAAGCGCGAAAAGCAAGACTACGCCGCTTTCAAACATCGAATCGACTTGAACAGAAGCAACGGAGATTCGAATGCCTGTTTGATAACCGAACGCAAGTCGAGTCGCGAATCGATGATGTATAGCCGCGATAGCTCACCGTCGGGAGGTTACGTCGTCGAGCAAACAGGGGGATCGGTGACTCGCGTGTTTCGCGAAGGCAACAATGTTTCGAGTCAGACGTTCGATTCTATCGGTGCTTCACCGGAGAAAAGGAGTCCCCCACGCGAGAATAAGCGAGCTCCAGGCGGCCGGGCGGATTCGCGTACGCCCTCGGGGAAGGGACGTGCTGGTTCGATTCCGAGACCAATTATCGTGGTGCCATCTCCACTCAGACACGTTTCCTCGCAGAAAGCCACGCCTGTGATGCAGCCGACTGGCCCCAGCACACCTGATTCTGAGCAGTCCTCCGTGTCCCTGGCTTCTCCGCAGGATACCGAACCGGTGGGTAGAACTTCCAATCGCAACTCGTTGTTTCGGTTGCCTTCTATCAAGAAATCTATATCTCCTTTGTTCAGTCCTTGAGAGATCAGCGTTGCTTCTTCTGGATTAAAGTGATACTACACACCTGCACCCGTTGGGTTAACGAACGGAGTACGACCTTTGGGCATGCTTTATCGATAAAAACTTGCTACGAGTATGTTAATCAAGCCAGATCACTTATTGTATGCCTTTCACTCTTTTGGTTTATGTTTATGCGTGGATTATTGGTTGGTATGTGTGGCTTTGTGAGCTGGTTTCGTTCCTTGCTTTTTTCTCTGCTCGGGTTGTTAGGCTCTAGAACCAATATATGCTCCCCCAAAAAGGGCTTTCAATCCTACAGGGCTATTCGTCTTATTTGCAGTGGTAGAGTACCCTCTGGGCCTGTAGAGCAACTCCTATCCTGAGACATACCATCCTGTGAACCAGTACTGTAGGTATTTCTCACTACCATATCTCCAGCTGCTATCCTATGATAGGCAAAGCAGCACAGAGCGAACAAGAACCAGAATCTTACTCCTAGCTACCTTATCCCATTGAGTATTCACTGCAAAGAGTAGGCATTCTATATGTAGATTAGTATTCTTCCTGATGATATCTGAAAGATTCCCAGTTACCTTAAGCATGCCTGACCCCATACTTTCTGTCATCCCAACATCATACATACATTAACATCCACGTTCGGAACCCAGAAGACATACTTCTGCTACCACTCACCATCTGTATGACTCAATGTATCAACATGTATACCTCGTTGACTTGATCTAGATCTGATACTCACACTTCCCCAGGCATAAAGTCGGGATATCATCGCTACCACAATACAATTATTAATTGATAATATGTATAGTCAGCTCGAATACTATGGCATTGTAATCACGAACAGAGGTTATGGTATGTCCAAGATCAATCACCTACATATCTAGACACTTCAATAGCTAGTCTCTAACAGGCTAATAGAATCTTGATCGATTGATTGACTGGTATTTCCAAGTAGAGAGGCTACCGTAACAGGTCTTGGTAGAAGTTAGTGATGGGGGTATTATAGTTGTTCTATACTTACCGTGGTTTGGGGTATGGGTTTCTACGTGGAAGGTCACTTGGTATACGTAGTGGTTGAGTGTATGGACTAGAGGAAGGTTGTTGTCACTTTGTATAATGATAACTATTTAATTGTACCTGGGTATATCTTGTTTAGGAAGATGTATCTGTGCATCAGGAGCTGTGTGGATGTATCTAAATATAGTGTTGATGCTTTATTCGGAATTCCTTGGCTTCCATGCAGGTCAGGACTTGTGTTCGTCAGATACTTGTTTACATCGGGCTAAAAGGCCTGGTTCAAGTTGTGGAGCTTGATATTTACTCCAGATACAATGGTTACTAGCAGTGGGAAAGATATCTAAACGAAAATCATGTACTTCTATCATCCTGTTCACACAACTATAGTACCACAGAAGCAATCTTGACAGTAGGGAGTGGCACTGTCTCCTCCTTGGGCAGGATCAGACAGGACCGTCGTGCCTCCTCTTGTAGGGCATACTCTCGCAGAAACTCGGGGTCGGTCAGCCCGAGTGCCTTGAGAATGGCTTGCTCTGTGTCCTGCACCACCGATAACATATAAAAATGAGCCGACTTGTGCACGCCACACCAATCTTCCCAGTTTGCGACCGTGACTCCGTCGAGAAGGATGTTGTATCTTACTTTACCTTTGCAGAAACGTTTCCGAGCCTTGCTGAATCTGTACCGTCTATAGTCCATATCCTCAAGGCTCGGCAACAGTGGGCCACTGGATCTCGCGTGGACTACACAAAGAATTGCAGCGGTCAAGAGATAGTCATTTCGGCTCATCGTCTCATAAGCCGTCGACAAAACGCGAGCGTAGGGCGGCATGATGAACTTGAAGTCACAAATCGATGCCATGTCGATTTCTTGATAGAGAACATGGACAATAGTGTCAAGGTAGCTCCCAGTCCAGTTCTGGCTGAGGTACATAGAGAATTTATAACACAAATGTGGCCTGAACAAAGGGTCTAGTATTGGCTGATTTGACCAGGATATGGGCTTTGAACCCTGATTGCAATGGCCGACATAAATTATTTGGCCGGGGTTGTATCGGTAGAGTCGCATCTCACTGAAGATCCACGGGCGGTGGAGGGTCTTTTTGAAATCCTCGTCGCCTTTGTCATACGCAGCGATCACGGTGATAGTCTTGTATAGTGTCGAAAAAGCCAGAACTCTTTCTATCAGGGCATCGCCGTCTAGGGACTGATCGATGGAGATCTGGTCAACGAATAAGTACTTGATGGACATAGTCTTGGCAAGCTGTACTGCGCTGGCAATATTTCGAGAACTGTGAATATCGCCATCCCAGCGCCACGATAGGATGGCCATGTGCGAGATATTCTCGGCGGTAATCTTCACCAGTCGCACGGGCACTGGTTTTGTTGCTCTTCCCAGCTGCTCACCGTGTACGATGGACTCTTCATCAATCTCG